AAGTTGGTGGTCTAGTTTCATTCTTTTGCATGTATCTGTCCAATTTTCCCAGCACCACTTACTGAAGAGACTGTCCTTACTCCATTGGATACTCTTGCGCCTCCTTTGTCAAATATTAACTGACCATAATGGCGTGGGTCTATTTCTGGGGTCTCTGTTCTGTTCCATTGATCTATATGCCTGTTGTTGTACCAATACCAGGCCGTTTTGATTACAGTGGCTTTGTGAGAACAGAAATTTATAGGCGTTCTCTTCCAATTCCAGTAACTGCTATTGGTAATACAACTGAAATGCTTAACATTCACTTGGCAGATTTCACTGAGAAAAACTTCAGGTTGGGCAGTTGAGTTAAAAATCATGACTAAATACTTGCCAATTCCACCCTCACTTACCTACTCACAGAATTACCTCCCCCAAATAATTCCTCAAATAAAAGAGTAGGTGAGTCAAATCCGCATTTCAAGTATAGGAGCCAAACCCCTCACCCTGAAAACACTTTGGCTGGGGTAGTAACTAAGGCTTGGGGCTGTAATCCACACCAGGGAGACTTGCTATCCGCCCTTTTATTTTTCCAATGAGCAGCAGATGCGCTCGTCAGCTAGTTATGCAAAAATTGATGGGGAGGACAAGGCATTTTGGAAAACTGCTTAAAGCAGCACTTCTTTGAGCAACATAGGCATACCTTGGAGATACTGTGGATTTGGTTTTAGGCCACTGCAATACATCGAGTCACACAAACTTTTTTGGTTTCCCAGTGATGGTGGAGGGTCTAGCCTTTAAATTGTAAAAACCGCAGTCTCTGCAAAGGGCAATAAAACAAGGTATGCCTGTAGTCTTATCAATACTAAACCACAGCAGCTTATACAACCACATTTTCATCTGTCCTGGATATGTATTTTAGTTTTTTGAGTAAGTTACCAAGAACTTAGGTCTCAATGCTTGGCAAGTTATGTACAACCCATAAATATTGTGCAGTTGTTTCTACCATGCCTTCCCTCTTTCAATGGTAAACTGTCATCCTCTTTTAGAAGGAAGTTAAACTTTCATGAGATATTGGAGACCCTGGTCTATCTCCCCTATTCCTATTTGGGATGCTACCTGAGGAAAAAGAGTGGGGTGATTATGGTGAAATATGTTTCAAAACTGCCAGGTTAAACCAAGTTTTAAACACATTCTTTATGCAGGATATTTCAAGCTGTTTAATATGATGATGTGTGCTATTATAAACCGTCAAGGGGATAGGAGAATAAAGCATATAGTATGTGTAAAGCTTATTGCTCATGGAATCCTTTTCATGCAACACGCTGTGGGACTTGAGGGTGTCATGGAATTCAGCAGTGATGTTCTTCAATAATAAAATAAAATGGTATAAATGGATTTTTAAAGAATAACTTTAGCCCAGCTGGTGTGGCTCAGTGGTTGGGCACCAAGAGGTCACTGGTTTGATTCCTGGTCGGGGCTCGATCCCCAGTTGGGGGGTCCTATGGGAGGCAGCCTATCGATATTGATTCACTCCCATCGATGTTTCTATCTCTAGCTCCCTTCCTCTCTAAAATCAATGAAAACATACTTTAAAAAAATAAATTGAAGATTAAAGCAAAGTGCCATTTTTCCATAAACCTTTCTTTACATTTTGCTCTTTAAATTGGTACCCTAAACACATTGTAATAAAATAGTGATGCCTAGCCGGTGTGGCTCAGTTGGTTGAACGTCTTCCATGCACCAAAGGTAACTGGTTCAATTCCGGGTCAGGGCACATGCCCAGGTTGTGAGCTCGATCCCCAGTAGGGGGTGTGCAGAAGGCAGCCAACTGATGTCTCTCTCACATTGATGTTTCTCTCCCCTCTCCCTTCCTTTCTCTCTAAAGTCAATAAAAATATATTTAAAAAAATAAAATACAGTGATAGGACATAATTGTTTTTATAAGCTAGTTTGATATTTATGAAAAAAATCATGCTCTGAGTTTAGAACATCCTGCTTAGAAACAAACTTGCAGAATGAAACCAAATTACATGCATTTAGACATCTCCAGTCACTGAATATTTGTGCTTTTGAGACTTTTCCTAAATGGAATAATCCTCAATTTCCAAATTTTCCCATTAAAAATACAAAAACACAAATACCTAAAAAATGTTACTTCTAAAGCAAAGAATGTCAATCAAGAATCCAAATAAAGTTTAATTTGTAAGGTGTTAACTTTTAAAATGAATTTTCTATGTCAAAGAAAGCATGGATAAAGAGCATGAAATTTATAGTTAGGTCTGGAATTGAATCCTGTAATTCAGCATGTATGATGAGACAGACATTGAGACTGAAAAACTTGGCCAAGGGCATTTTCCTCATTTACAAAGTGCTGGTAAGAATAACTGCTTGTCCTGGCTGGGTAGCTCAGTTGGTTAGAGTGTTATCCAATACACCAAGGTTGTGGGTTCGACCCCCCAGTCAGGGCATATACAAAAACCAAAGAATGCATATATAAGTGGAACAAGAAATCAATATATTTTTTTCTCTTTCTCAAATCAAGTAATAAAAATTTTAAAAAAAAGGAGTAACTGCTTTACATGGTTGGTTTGATTATATACTAGAGACCTAGCAAAATGCTGGGCAAGAGCAAATAAAAGGCTCCCAATAAATTGTATCTCTTGTTATTATTTCTATCACAATTGAACAAACTATCCTACCATAATGTAGTCTAAAATCCTCTCCTGGTATCCAGGACACTTGGCCAATGGAACATGATCCTGAGATGGCTGGGTAGGAAAAAAAGTAAAATCCATAGACAGGCAATTGTCATTACTGTATTTTATTACAAGATGTTTAGTGTACCAATTTAAAGGGAAAAATGTAAACAAAATAAAAGTCTAGGGAAAAACTGGCACTTTGCTTTAATCTTCAATTTAAAGTTACTCTTACTTTAACAATCCCATTTACACCATTTAATTTTATTATTAGGTTTTAAAGATCACTGCTGAATTTCAAACTAAAAAATGAATGAACAGAAATGATGACACCAAAGAGTTAAGCAGAAGAAGTGATACTGATTAAAGAGCTGAATGTAAAATCTACCTTGGCTAGAAGTGAACATTGACAGAGAACTTTCTATAAAGGAAAATCGAACTTGAATCATAAAGGTTCATTTTCTATATAGTCCAATACCATGTTAATTAGGAACTCATGATTTGATGAAAACAGTTTTACTTAGTTACATTCAACTACCTAAAATCCTACTGGGCATGCTATTTGCCATCTCTTATTCCCCTGAGATAACTACGTTTCTTAAAACAAGATATGAGAGTTTGCCTGTGATTGAAGTTTCAAGAAATAGTTTGTAGAAAACACCAAAAGAATCAGTTGTTAAAGGTCTTACCTTTTTTTCACTGTACAGCAGCTTTTCCTACAAATGAGTGTGTAGATACTTTCTAAGAACTCAAAATGAGAAAACAAAAAACAAGTCTGTGTACATGAACATATGTACAAACATATGTATAAGCTTAAATCCCCTCAAATGGGTTTAAATAGGTAAAAATACCTCAATATTCTAAATTCAAAAAGCAGAGATAAACAGTTTTGTGTTATTAACATGTTATAGTTAGAATACTATACCTACAGTTCAGAAGTGCTTTGATTGGATTCCATTTAAAAAAAAAAAAAGACATTCAAAATAATAAAAACATTCTTCTAACAACAAATAATTTTCCCACTTAAAAAAATGTTTTTATTGATTTTTTAAAGAGGAAGGAAGGAAGAGGGAGAGAAACATTGATGTGAGAGACAAACATTGATCAGTTGCCTCCCCTAAGCATTCCAACTGGAGATTGAACTGGTAACCTAGGTACGTGCCCTGACCGGAAATTGAACCTGGATGACACTCAACCAACTGAGCCACACCGGCCAGGGCTCTCCCACTTTTTATTTATTTTGACATATTGATATTTCCATAAACTTTTATGTGGAAGATAAGCGGTTCAATAAAAGCCATTTCATATATACAATATACAGAAATTATTTAAAAGTCTGTTCATATAATGGATTCTTTGGGTACTAACAAAAAATTAAGATACAAATAATTGACTAAAAATGAAACTATCACTAAACCAAGAAACACAGGAACTGTACTTCATTTCAGGGGGCAAAAAAATCTCAATCTTACTGGGTTAGAAGAATAAAGTACATTTGTCATAGTATACATTATCATATTCCCTTAAAGCAGAGATTAAAGTTTTAAATTAAAAAATGTTCAGCATTACCTCTGTCTATACATTTAGGAACTATCATATCATCACTGGCTACACACAATTCTCTCATCATGCAAAAAAACCTTGGTTGATTTTTAAGGTCTATTTAAGTCAAACAATAAACTAGTAATAGTAAATTAATTAGCAAGCTGTAAATCAGAGTGGTGTAGAAATTCTGCAGTTGAATTGTATTTCCTGTCTATAGTACTGCTGCTATTAAATCTATTTTCTCTACGTATTTGAAGAAAAAAATAGGCATTGATAGTCAAAATAAGATTTTCATTGATGCAACAAATGATAGAGTATGTGAGAGAAGGAAGAGTTCCTAATGTCACGACAATCTTTATGATCCTTTATAAAGGTAAAGGATTATTGTGTGCATATATGTGGGAAGGAGTAAGAAATAAAGGCAGGTGGTTAAGACAGGCATATAAAGGGAATGCTGAGACTATATTAGAATTATATTTGTTAAAAAAAAAACTGATCTGAAGTCTGCCAATTGAGTGTACAAAAAAAGAGCAGACACTAGTGCAAGTTTAACCTGATAATTTATTTGTGAATAAAGCTAGTTTTGGTGAGAAAAAAGTTTAATCCTTTCCTTGGAAACATAAAGAAACTCAAAAGGAATTTTAAAGGTAGTAGGCCAGATAATGCAAGTAATTCTTATCATCCTTTTCCATTAAACAAATAAATCAAGTTGAGATGTGTGTTAAAATACTTTTCAGACTGAATATTTAGCAGCCTATATAATCTGTTGTTTCAATTGGATTTTGATTAAAAATTTTTTTTTATGAGTTATCACATCTAGAATGAAGAAAATAAATTACATCCCCTCCCCTTCCCAAGATATTGTTTAACCTCTAAAGCATAAAAAGCTATATAATATCTTATACAAATTAACCAGTGTTCTTAAAAAAGTAACGCAGTTTGGGGCTGATGATATTATGCTGTATTTGTGGTGAAGTACTAGGCACAAGAATATACATATCAATTAGGCATTTTCAGTCTAATTAGTCTCTAAAGTTATTTAATTCTTGGCAACATTGGTGTGCATTTTGGTACTTAAGTCATGAATTGTAGAGAACAAGAAGCAGTATAGTATAGTAACAGGATTTGTATCGACAATTAGTGTTGAACAAATCTCTTCTATGAACTCTGTGATTTGTTTTGCAGCTGGTCACCTGTAGTAGATCCTGCAAAGATAAAAGGAAAAAAAAAATCAACATAATTTGCTTGTTATGTATTGTCAACCTTGAAACTCCCTGAGCTAAAGTTTCCTTCCACTGCCATTGATGATTAACAAATAAAAGGGTCTAAAAAACAAATAAGGTATATTTCATGTAGGCAAATTAGTCTGAGATGAAACAATCTGCATACCCCCAAAATATTCTAAAGACCAGAATTGGAGTCTTGACTTGGTGATACGACAAATAGGTTTCAGACTGAACATTTCTGTGACTAAATCACAAGTGGATAACTGAGTTTATTACAACTCAAATACCCAAAGCTATAAAAAGATTTGCATTTATGGTATCAAAACTATAAAATATATCCTCAGAGTCTAAACATGCCACTTTTCTTTTTTTAAAAACAGTAATAAAACAGAGGTCGGGGAGATGAAGGAGAACAATGTTAAAAAATAATGGGTTCCATAAAAGCTGGAAATTTTAAAAGCTGATAAGATTTTTTTTAAAGAACAAAAAAGGGTAGAGAATAAATGAGGAACTTTCTTCCCCATGCCATATTATGTAATATTTTTTATCCTTGTGGACTTTATGAAGCTAAGTAGAATATACTCCTATGTATGTAGTACTTCATCTTCAATGAAGAAAAACCAGGCACTGAGCTAATGCAAATTTTAATCATTACCTTTAAACAAAAAAATTTTTTTATGTACTAAGTGTGAAATCTAATGTCTTACAAGTAGAGACAGACAAAAAGCCAGAGTTATTTTTCAAAAAGCTGTGGCTTAAAAACAGAAATCCCTTTAACCTTTTGCACAGTGTTGCTGGTGCAAATTCCCAGAGTCAAATAAGGTAACTATCCCCAGTGCTTGGTCAGAGTCATTAAGAATTGATATTGAAAGTCTGAGTAGAAACTGATAAAAACTTATAATGAAAGAAACATTCATTTTGAATACATCAAAATAAATCACTGAGATATAGGGAAATGGGGAACAAAGACCAATTAGGAGATAGGCCAACTGAAAATGAATAATAAATTTTAAAAGAGACATGTAACGATAATTATTCAATATAAAGCTTATTCAAGTTAAATCTAAGCTAAACAGACTATGATGCATAAAATGGAAATGAAATGCTGTATAAAGTAAACAGTATTGCTCTGGCTGGGTAGCTCAGTTGGTTAGAGCATTGTCCCAATATGCCAAGGTTTGGGGTTTGATCCCCAGTCAGGGCACATACAGGAAGGAATCAAATTAGTGAATACATAAATAAGTGGAACAACAAATTAATGTGTGTTTGCCTCTCCTTTCCATTCTCTAAAATCAATAAATAAAAATTTTAAAAAATAACAGAAAACAAACTGTATGAAAAGTTAAAGCCTAATCTGTATCAAAAAATACTGTAATATTTTAATTATAATGAGACAGTTATCAGGTTCTATCACAGAATCAATCATATTTCATATATGCTCACTGAAACGATATAATATTTATTTTCCTAAGACTTAGCCATCCAAGGCACAACAAATAGTTACATTTTCCACTGAAAAGCATCAGTTTGCAAGTACAAAGAGTAGGTAACCAGGCACAACATCATTAGTGATGTAGAAGATTCACCTTCATGGAATACCAAAACAACAGTTTATTAAAAATAAATAAATAAAATCTACTTCCTATGACTTATCAAGAGTTGATAGGCTGCAGGGGCAGATTGTCTGAGACTTAAAAAAACAAAACAAACCCTGGCCAGCGTGGTTCCGTGGTTAGAGCATTGGCCCATGAACTGAAGGGTCACAGGTTAGATTCTTGGTCAAAGGCACGTACCTGGGTTGCAGGTTTGATCCCCAACCCTGGTCAGAACACGTGAGGGAGGCAACCAAACAAGAGATACATGTTTCTTTTATTCTCTCTCTCTCTCCTCTCTCTTTCTCCCCACCCCCCCTCCATTCTCTCTAAAAACCAATGGAAAAAATATCCTCAGGTGAGGATTAAGAAAAAAAAAAAAAAATCAGTCAAATAACCTGTCAATCTAACAGTCAAAAGAATCAACACTGCAAAGATATACTTTGCACCCAAAGGGATGTTAAAACAAATCTTCCATATTAAACTCATTTCTTTAAAAAAGTTTAAACCTTAATTTAGATTATTAAAGATCAAACAGGATCTAAAACGTTAAAAACAAAATATAGCTTAATATGAAGACAAACATCATTGCTTAAAATCAAGTACATTTAAACACATAGCCATATAATATAACATATAATATAACATATGGTCTTAAATCAACTCTGGGCATAAAAACTATTATTTTTGAGATTGGCCACAGGGGTTTCAATTTTAGAAACTTTTGGCATAACTGAATGCCAGCAAAAATATTCTGAGGTTCTTCAAGTTTAAAGCAAAATAAAATCTACTACTCAGGCACAAAGGATCACGAGAGTCTCAGGAATATTCCGAAACATCTAACCTTGACTTGATTCTTCTGTATTCATGCTTTCTCCTGCTGCAGTCTCTGACATTTCTTCATCTTCATCATCCTCATGTAGGTCCTTTGAAATTAATTGCCTAGCTAATTTAATATTCAGTCCTTCATTGTAGTGAAGCTTCCTTTTCATTTCGAACTGTCGCTTTTTTTCTATAAAATACAAAAAATAGGCTTAGGAAATCCTTCGCTCAAGGACTGGCCAACTATAGCCTATGTCTGTTAGTAAATATTACTGGAACACAGTCATGCTCGTTTGTTTTTGTAATGCTTAAGGTTGCTTTTGTGCTCAAAGGCAGAGTTGAGCAGCTTCAATAGAGACCATAAGGTCCACAAAATGGAAAACATTTACTTTTTAGCCTTTACAGAGAAAGTTTGTCAGCCTCTGCTTTAGACAGGTTAAGTACGTCTTAAATGGAATACAGGAATAAAGCCATTAGTTGTTCTACCTGTGAAGAAAATTCAAAGATACAGAAAAACTTTCCAGAAAGAGTTGAATGGGGAAACAACGCAAGCTATAATACTGTGTGTGTATACTGATAGTCTTAGTAGAAATTGATAAATATTACATACAAATATTATATACAAAGCCTGCATGTATGTGAGTAAATAAGACTAAGTAATTAACAATGGTTAATTCTGGGTCAAGAAACTATAGGATAATTTTAATATTTTCAACTTTTCTATTTTCATAATTAAGAAAAAAAATTCTTATTATTAAGAAATTGCCATGATTTAAAATGTTGCTGGCTAATAATACCACCTCATGCCCAGAGTAATTTTAAGAAAAGCCTGTTGTTATAGTGAAGTAATTCTGGACTATTCTCTCATTTATATTCTTCACCACGGAAACATTAAACTAGCAGCAAATAAACATAGCTGATCATATTTAATAGAAGAAATAATTCTAAGATTTTAAAATTTCTTACACCAGTAAATTAAAAAACAAAAAGGGGTTTGATATGAAATTGCCAACTATTTATTTTGTCAAACAAGAGAGAGCTGAAACTAATTCACCATAGTTTTATTATGGTATTGATAAAAATATTTTAATGCCAAAAAGGCAGAGAGAAATAGAAATCTCTCAGAAAACAGCTATTCAAAGTACTTTCTCAATGTCCTCTAATTCCAAGTTTTTATCATTATGTATATGTATATTTATGTTTTAAAAGCAGGCATTTATAGTTCATATCACCACTCATCAATCACTTTCAGAAAAGTTCTGAGACCAAGATCCATTTCAGCATCCCATAAAAATATTGAAAGGTATCTTTCTTCTTCTCTGCTTATAAATTACTTTGTGATTCGTTTTACTCTTTCAGAGTACCATACTGTAAAGAGGAATGAAATTAAGGGGTGGAGAAAAAGACCATTAAAAAGACCAATTCCTCACAACTAAATTTTCAGTTATGCCTTTAAGTATTCAAATGATGTAGTACAAGGCAATATAAACAAAACAAAAGGTTCTAATTGCCTCCAATACCAGATAAACTTACTAAAAGGGTAAAACTTTTCTCATTACAAAGTAACCCAATTTCATGGGAAACACTTAAAAAAAAATCACTCTTAATTTCCTCACTCAGAAACTACCATTAGTATTTTATGACTTCAGATTTTTTCCTAAAAAAATGTAGTTTTTATAAAAACCAACCTTATATTGTTTATGCTGCTTTTCCCTCTCATTAGGATGAACATAAGGTCCCAGTTTGCCTAGAGAAGTCTTAGTTTATGCCTAGTGTCTGATGGAACTGTAATAATGGCTTTTTCTTTCAATCTTAAAATGATGCAGAATTTAGACAATAAAGTATACAAAGATAGTAAAATTCTGCCATGTACATGGCAGATTTATATTATTTTAAAATGTCTATAAAGTATGAGTTACAATTTTATCCCCTATTCTTAGTCAAAGATTCCTGATTTCCCCCTTTATATTTTCAATGTTTTTTTATGATGTAACACACATACATTTTTGTGTATGTTTTATTATTTTCTCAATTATTAACTAGTGTGGTTTCAAGTTGTGCCACATCACTGTTTAGTGAGTAACAAACAGCATTTAAAAAAAGAAATAAAACAGAGCTGAAACATATCACATATAATAAGGGTGACTACTCTTTTGTGAAATTTTATTTTTGTAATTTTATGTACACGTGTGTACTAAGTGGGACTTGGTTAAAAATGTTTTAAAAACAGAATAAACACTGGGAAACTGAATTACTAAATCAAAAGATTTTTCTTTTAAAGTTTTCATTTTTCATGCCCACCAACAGTATATGAGTAACCTATTTCTCCACATTCAGACCAAAAGAGATATTGTCATTCTTTTTCATCTTTGCTGATCTGAAAGAAAGGTACCATGACACTTTTAATTTGTAGTTTCTTATTCCCAGGAGCTGATATTACAGTATTTTTGTGTGAACTATATTTATAGTATAAGAAAATTATTTCTTTTTACTTCTAAGAGATAAACTTACTTGTTATAGATATATTCTAGTTTTGGAATACTCAAAATCTATTATATAATTTAAAAACATGCAATGTATTCACTTCATAGAAAGCTGCTAATACAAGTGGTCTTGATCTTCTTTGAATATATTCATTTTATCTATAATCCTTGCATGACAGAGCAACATAGTGCAGAGTACAAGGGCTTTCAGGGTTCAGGCCCAGCTGTAATAATAATGAACTAACCACATGGACTAGACAAGTGAATTATCCTTTTTATACTTTCTTTTACTATCTTACAAAATAAAGAATATACCAATTATTTTAAGTTAATAGTTAATATTTACTGAGCACTTATAATATGCCAAGAACCAGTGTTAAATGCTTTAAATTCTTTATCTAATACTCACCAATGGTTCTCAATATTTCTTTAGCTCCCAATTTAGAAATGAGGAAATAGAGGCTCAGAGAAATTAAGCAAATGAGACAAGTGGCATACCTGGAGTATAAACTTAGATCTGTCTGGCTCCACAGCCTCGATTCTTGAAATCGAGGGGGAAACAGTTGTATCTTGTTATGGTATCAGTTACAAGACAATTTTTTCTAAAAATTTCTAAAAAATTTTTTCTAAAAACAAACAAGGATTTTCAGACATGTAATTTGTTTAAAAGCAATAAACATCTATATGTACATACGGATCAGCAACTCAACTCTATTCGTGGGAACTGAACATGTGAAATTGCCAACTACTCAGTGGGTTCCCCCTGCTGGCTAATTCCTAGAAGTACAATTTGAGGAAAAAACCCTTAATGAAAATTGTCAATACAGGTTAATAATAAATTCCCTGTTCTTAATAGACAATATTTTCAGAGAATAATGAAGAAACAAGATCTAGAGACAATTTCTATTTGAAACCCTTTTCAAGGGCCTTTTGGGGTATACTTTGGGAATATGTAACTCAGGAAGTCACTGAGGACTGAAAAAATATAATACACTTGAGATTATGCTACTGGTAAAGTTTCTCGCTTGTACAACAATTAGGCTCAGACCATCGTAATTTCGTTGAATAAGCTATATTCTAAATATGTGAGGAAGAAATGGCAAATTATACCTTAGCAGCTACCTATGACAAAGATTCCAAACTTCTTTTACAATATAGGTCGTCCCCACATTTCAAAGGTCCAAGTACACTACTAACTCTCTTTTGTTTTTCTGTGAGTGTGTTTTTCTTGCATCTTTTTTTCCTCACACACAGGCTTGTGGTTTTTTTTCCTTTTAAAAATAGTTAAAAATAAACTATATAAACAATTTTTAATTCTTAAGATTATACATTCATATCGTTCAAAAAGCAAGGTGAAATATCTTCCCTTCTCTCCTTACCTCCACAGACAACCACTGTTACTTGGAAAAACAGAAACAATGAGTAGGTAGCAATACCTTAACTGTGTATGTGCTGTATGGACTACAAGGGCCTTTTCCATCCTTATTGACAGGCCATCTTTATCTCCTTTCCTACGACACTATCGTTCTTCATACTATGGAACCTAAGAAAAATCTTCACACTATGTCTGACTATCTTGGATCATTAAGTTTCACCACTGTCTTAAAACAGAAAAACCACAAGGAACTATAAAAATTAGCTTTTATTTCAATTTTAAAACCATCCAAACACTCAATGCCTCTAAAAGCATTTATTTAATAAATATTTACTGAGCATCTATCTACTCTATGCCAGGCACTAAAAAAGTACAAAGGTAATATTTTCCCAAATTCTTGAAATCAAGGGGGAAACGGCTGTTACACAATAGAACCACACAAGTAGAATCTGAATTTTAAAATGTTGCTCCCTAATCTCCCACCATCCACTTTCTGAAAAGGAACACCACTTAACAATCTTCCAAATAATGGGTTATTTTAGCAAAAATTATTAGCATAATGCTGAAAGCAGAAAAGGAAATTACCTTGTTCTTCAGGTGAGAGGTCACTGTCATCTTCACTGCTTTCTTGATCATGAACCTGATACTTTGGCTCAGAGCCTTCAGCAGCAGCTAATCTAAACAATCATTTGCAAAGAAATCAACACTGTGATATTCTTGTATTAGTTGAGTGGCTTCAACTTTTGAGTCTCATCAAAAAACATCTAAAGATCATTATACTAGCCATAGTGTAGTACTATGATGAGAAAAATAAAAAGCAAGAGAGTAAGCATGGGTGTAGAAACCAATACACAACAAGGAGAGTGGAGGATGACAAATCAAGGAATAACAAAGAAATAGAGCTTTCATTTAGAAATTCACTTATTTTTGCCTTTGTCACTTTCATCTTTAAAACCCAGGAGGCAGGATATTAAAAAAACAAAAAACCACAATTGGTGTACTAGGCTCTGCTACCAACTGCATACCTTGATTTTAATCTAGAAAAAAGACTATAAAAGTTGATATGAAAAATCCAGATATACTTAGCACATGCCTTTAACTCTGCATAATTAAATACAGCATAAGTGAAAACGCTTTACAGTCAGTCATCAGTACTTACTTCTCAGCTAACTTATCTGGTGTCAGGGCTTCAGTGGTTTCTGAATCACTAAATGCATCTTCATCATCACCTATCATACTAGGACAACAAACAGATTATAATTAATAACTGAACTATAAATTTTTAAGCAGAAAAATAAGGTAGACATAATTCTACTGACTTACTTAAATTATCAACATATTTATAGCTCTGTTGTCATCTCTGAAGCCTCACTTTAGTTTCAATTCAATGCAAATATTTTATTTATTTTTTATTTTTATTTTTTTAAAATATATCTTTATTGATTTCAGACAGAGGAAAGAAGAGGGAGAGAGACAGACAGAAACATCAATGATGAGAGAATCATTGATCAAGCCCACAACCCGGGCATGTGCCCTGACCATGAATCGAACCTTGATCGCCTGGATCCCAGGTCGACGCTCAACCGCTGAGCACGCCTGGCTGGGCCAATGCAAATATTTTAAAGTAAATGATCAAAAAAAAAAAAAAAAGGCACTACTGCAACCATGAAGATAAATATTGAAAAACTTAAACCATCTGAAAAAAATACTTCGATTATTCCACTCAGTGTGTGTGTTGTTGTTTTTTTTGGGGGGGGGAGGGCACACACGAATAATGCAAAAAAAACCCCCAAACCCCTCACTGTCTGATTTTAGAGTATGTACTGGTAAATCAACCTGGAGACAAAGGATCTATGCAGACATAAAGTTAGGTAAAATTACAAAATTGGACCCTAGAGATCTCATTCAGGAAGTTTAAAAGCTATTTAGCTTTCCCAATCTACCCTCTAATGAAAAATTTGCTCCCCACTTATTTGCATTCTCAAGCCACTGAAAGATGTATAAAACAGAACTTAGCTACACACACACACACACACACACACACACACACACACACAAACTACTGATTTATACCTTTCCTGGTTAGTTAAGGAGGCAAGTTACGTAAGTGCTATAGTTTAAATGATGCTCTTTTTTCCAAAGGAAGTTGAAATAAACTCATTTACATTAATGAATATAATTAAGCAGAGTAGGATAAAATAATCAATTTGTAGAACTGTTCTACAGAAAATTCTAGGTTATAGAATTTCAGGTGAATTATATATTTGTGTATATGTGTATACATATAAAAACATATCTATATGGAAGTATATACTCACACACATATATATATATATACAGGGTGGGGCAAAAGTAGGTTTACAGTTATGAGTATGCAAAACAGTTTACTCTTATATTATTATTTATTGTGTTATTTTCCATACAAACAACTATAAACGTACTTTTGCCCCACTCTGTATATACATAAAAGCAATAACTTTTTGTTACACTAGTATATGAGACTCTTAGGTAGCATAACATGATCTTTACATAAAAAGCATCTTTAAAAAAACACCTCTTTAAGAAAAAAAAGCTGGTAAAACTGGGTAAATTGATAAAGCTGGTAAACTGATAAAAGCTGAACTGAACACATATATCTGTATAGACATATAGCCTCAATCATTTAAGGACCAAATAACTTTAGAGACTCTCAAAGGAAGAGTACGGGTAAGGTAAAGAGAGAAAAAAAAAGCAGCATCAAATATCTACCATTCTGATTTATTATATGTTAAATATAAAACCTAAAAATAATAATACAGCTATTTTTTTGAACCATGTTAGATCTAAATTCTTTCAAGATAGTTATCTCCAACCAACAACATATGTAAGATATCTACTTTTTAAAAAAAAATTTTATTTTTCAATTAGAGTTTACTTTCAATATTATTTTATATTGGTTTCAGGTGTAGAGCATAGTGGTCAGAAAATCATACTTTATGAAGTGTTCCCCCTGAAATTTCCAGTACCCACCTGGCACCATACATATTGACTATATTCCCTGTGAAAGAGGTGAAGGGATTAAGAGGAAGCTGGTAGTTATAAAATAATCTACTACTTTTATTGAAAAGAAGCAAGCCCTGACTTTGGCTTCTGGTACAATAAAAGTTTTAAGCTATGTTTTAAAGTATATCTATTATTAAGAGAAAAGGAAAAGTTAAAAATATAAACTTTTCATAAATGATGTCTAATTCTTCCCTCAAGTTTACTAGTATTAGAGTTTCAGTATCTGCACTTATTTCATTATTTCTTTCTACCCTTGGCACAATCTTCATGTTCATTCTTTTTACTGTTTTTGCTATTATCATCAAGTTATCTCAACTTAGCTTCTTCCAAAGATTTCATCCACTGATTTAAAACAGAATTTCTTAACTCTATTTTAACAGTAACTTCTGGATTTATGTCATACTTCAATGACAAAGTATTTCAGTCCTGAAAATCTTTATTTTTTTTCAATATAAGTAAGGCATGATCTGAATTAGGTATTTCTACTTATTTAGAACTTCACCTCAAAATGCTTATTGGTACATTATTTTTGTCTTTATACTAATCACTGCCACACATTATTATTTTAAAATTCACTTAAAAATTCTGGAAGACTCAAAATTGACAATAATCACAATGAATCATATAAACTACAATATTATATAAATGAAAAATAGGGACATCAAATAGTAGTAATGACCACTTGTCTTGGAATGGGTTAAAAAAATAGTTAACATCTGTGAAGTTATCATTTTCTGCAAAGAGACTGAGTAAGCCCTTCATTTCTATTTTGGAAGCAAACAAGCCCAATCATTTTCCTTTTTATAAACAGATTATTTTAAGGAAGGCAAAAGTCACTAGCTTGTGTGCATCATTAGCAGCTAGAAATCACTGAGTTGCAAAAAATAAACAATTACTGCAAAAATTATAATATACAAAATAGATCCCATAATTTTAAAGTTACATATTAGTCATAGTATTACACAAAGATATACAGCTGGGTTACTAATTAGTGCTAGAGTAACAAATATAAAAACAAATTCAAATCAGCTGTTATGTAGAAGTTCGTATCAAATGCAAAATGTAAACAAGTCAAAAAAGGAATGATGTCTACAAAACATTACCCATGGTATGGAGTACTTGGTTCATCTATTTTCATTAAACCATAGTCTTTGTCTGCTGGATGATACGTTGCCAGGATGTTCATTTCATCCCACTTCTGGGATTTTTTACTAAAATTAAAAAGAAAAAAAATTTCCTCAATGTAATGAAGGATAAATATATGCACATTTAAAATTCACAAACATCTAAACCCCACATTTCAGTTTCTAGTTGACTGCTAACTTCTATTTCTACAGCTACTTTATTAGAATAGAAACTTAGGATAAAAACCGTAAGTAATTAAAATAAAAACTCAGTAAATGTTTTATAAAATACTTAGTGCCCACATACTAAAAAATTATTATTCAGAATCTTCATCAGGCATTCAAAACACTATATGACATGCTTAAGTCTTCACCTGGTCTACAGAATTAAAACAGTAAAAATTGAAATTTATACATTGTTTGATCTCAACAGTTAAGGATTTTTATACCTATATATTAGTTAATAGTGTGACTTTTTTAAAAAAATAAGAGGAATATTTCTTTGGCCTAATTTTTTTCAGATATCCATAGCAATCAAAAGAATCAGGCTAACTCTCCCTCCCAGGAGCATGCCCAGGCTCCCACTCTTCTTTCCCCACAGGTGTGCATCTCCTAAACTCTAACTCTAAAGGACCCTGCGAGGCTTGCAATCAGGGCAGCAATGGGCAGCTGTAGTTCGCCCCGGCAAACCCCCTGAACCTTTCCCTAAGGCCCCCTATTCACAGAGTTTTTAGTGAACCAAAGCAGCCCCGCCTAGGCTCATTTTCTCAGCCCTTCCTTGTTTCATTGTCACCAGCTTTAATAAACGTCCTCTAACGTTCAAATAAATAATTTTAAAAAATAAGAACATTAAATGAGTGGGGAAATCTAATTAAATTCATATACCACTAAATAAAGATTTAGGTTGCAAAAAAATAAAATTATAGCTTAGTTTTTTTAATCTAGAAAAATAAGGCTTTGCTCAGAAATGGAATACAGCAGTCCCCCTTATCTGCAGGTTACAAGTTCGAATGCTTGAAATTGCAGATAACATTGAACCCTATATATACTATGTCTTTTTCTGTATATAAAGTTTAACTTATAAATTAGGCACAGTAAGAAATTAATAATAATAATAATAGCACAATTATAATATACACCAATAAAAGTTATGTGAATGTGGTCTCTCTCAAAATATTGTATTCATCACCTTTCTTGTGATGATGTGAGATGGTACAGAACCTACATGGTAAGCTGAACTGAGGTGAACGAACGACGTAGGCATTGTAATATAGCATTAGGCCTGTATAAGGGTTGTTTGAATAAAAGCACTGTGCTACCTGAACAGTTGATCTGATAACCAAATGGCTATTAAATGCCTTTAGCCAGGTAGCTTATACAATGTGGATATGCTGGACAAAGAGATGATTCACACTGAGATTTCATCATGATACTCAGAACTGTGGACAATTTAAAATTTATGAATTGGGATCACTGGGTCAAATGGTAGTTCTGTATTTAACTTTCTGAGGAAACTCCATACTGTTTTTCACAGTGGCTGCATCAGTCTGCATTCTCACCAGAAGCGTACTAGGGTTCCCTTTTCTCCACATCCCTGCCAGCACTTGTCATTTGTTGATTTGTTGATGGAGCCATTCTGACAGGTATGAGGTAATACCTCATTGTGGTTTTAATTTGCATCTCTCTGAAGATTAGTGACTTTGAACATTTTTTCATGTCTCTTGGCCATCTGTATGTCCACTTTGTAGAAATGTCTATTTAGGTCCTTTGCTTATTTTGTAAATTGGATTGTCTTCCTTTTAAGTTGTATGAGTTCCTTATGTATTTTCATATTAACATCTTATCAGATGTATCGACAAACATGTTCTCCCATACAGTGGGCTCTCCATTTTGTTGATGGTTTCTTTTGCTGTGCAAAAAATTTTTAGTTTGTTGTAGTCCCATTTATTTTTTCTTTTGTTTCCCTTGCCAGAGGAGATATGTCAGAAAAAATATTGCTACAAGAAATGTCTGAGATTTTACTGCCTATGTTTTCTTCTAAGAGTTTTATGGTTTCAAGTCCTATATTTAAGTCTTTAATCCATTTTGAATTTATTTTTGCATATAGTGTAAGAAGGTGGTCTAATTTTTTTTAGTATTCATTTGTCCAATTTCTCCAACATTATTTATTGAACAGACTGTCTATACCCCACTGTATGTTCTTGCCTCTTTTGTCATATGTTAATTGATCATATAGGTATGGGTTTATTTCTGGACTCTCTATTCTGTTTTATTGATCTATGTGTGTTTTTATGCCAGTACCCTGCTGTTTTATTATAGCCTTTTAGTATCATTTGATATCAGCTATCATAATACCTCCAACTTTGTTCTTTTTCCTAAGATTGCTGTGGCTATTCAGTCCATATAAATTTTTGGATTGTTATAGTCTGTCAAAAAAACCTTTGGTATTTTGATAGGAATTGCATTGAATCTATAGATTGCTTTGCATAGTACGGACATTTTAATGTTAATTCTTCTTATCTATGAACACAGTATATGCTTCCATTTATTTGTATCTTCTTCAATTTCTTTCTTCAGTCTTATAATTTTTGGTTTTACATCCTTGGTTAAATTTATTCCTGGGTATTTTACTTTTCTGATGCAATTATAAATGGGATTGTTTTCTTAGTTTCCTTTTCTGATGCTTCATTATTGGTATATAAAAATGCAACCAATTTGTGAATATTAATTTTGCATCCTGATACTTTACTGAATTCATTTATCAATTCTAGTAGCTTTTTGGTGGAATCTTTAAGATTCTCTGCATACAGTATCATGTTATCTGCAAATAATGATAGTTTTACTTCTTTTCCAATTTGGATGCCTTTTATTTTTTCTTCTTGTCTGAGTGCTGTGGCTAGGACTTCCAGGACTATGTTGAATAAGAGTGGTAAAAGCTGACATCCCTGTCTTGTTCCTGATCTTAAGGGAAATAATTTTAGTTTTTCCCCACTGAGTACAATGTTAGCTGTGGGTTTGTCATATATGGATTTTATTATGCTGAGGAATGTTCCCTTTACCCCCACTTTGCTAAGAGTTTTTATCATAAATGGATGCTGGATTTTGTCAAATTCTTTTTCTGAATCTAATGATATAACCATATGATTTTTATCCTTCATTTTGTTTATGGGCTGCATCACCTTATTTGATTTGCAGATATTATACCAACCTTGCATTCCAGGAATAGTCCCACTTGATCATGATGGTTTATAATTTCTTTAATGTATTGCTGAATTTAGCTTGCTAATATTTTGTTGAGGATTTTTGCATCTGTGTTCATCAGGGATATTGGCCTGTAATTTTCCTTTTTTGGAATTTCCTTATCTGGTTTTGGAACCAGGATAATGCTAACCTCATAAAATGAAGTTGGGAGTCTTCTCTCCTCATGAATTTTTTGGTATAGTTTGAGAAGGATAGGTGTTACTTTTCTTTGAATGTTTGATAAAATCTACTTGTGAAGCTATCCAGTCCAGGACTTTTGCTTGTTGGGAGTTTTTTATTACTGCTTTGATTTTGTTTGTTGTAACTGGTCTGTTTCAGTCTTAGAAGACTGTATGTTTCTAGGAATTTACCCATTTCTCTCAGATTGTCAAATTTTTTAGCATATAGTTGTTTGTGTCCATGTAATATTTTTGGATTGCAAGAAACTGAAACTGTGGATAAGGGGGGACTACACATGGGATATTTCTACTTAAGAGAAACAGAAATGCTTTATAAGTGCTTTATCAACACTTGTTAATATCAACAAAATAGTCAACAAAATATTTGTAAAACTACCAAGGTGTTCAATAATTAATGCCTTAATTACAAATCCTTATATACTCATTAAAAAGGACATCAAAGATCTGTCAGCTGACAATATTTTGTCACATATGCAGTTTATCACTTGGTTATATACCTGAAAATACTACTACTTTAAAAAGAATCAATGTAAATTTTACACAGATTAAAATCATACCTCCTGCATTTGATCCACACTGTTGAGGTTTAATTGTAAATAATTTCAACTTTCCTAAATCTATCAATACCCCCAATCCTGAAATTCTCTTGAAGAGTGATATACTTAAATTATATTATTATATTCACTTCTCTATGCTCTGAGTCACCTTAAAAATTTTATGTGTCCACTCACGGCAGGTGAGCCTGACTTAAGTTCTCTTCCTTTCTACCCCTAAAGGGCTCCACAGAGTCCCCATTTCAGACTAAGCAATTTTTGTCCTTCATATTTTTATTGTGGTAAACTATACATAAGATAAAATTTACCACTTTAACCATCTTTAAGTGTACAGTTCTATGGCATTAAGTACATTCACATTGTTGTGCAACCATCACCACCATCCATATCCATAACTTTTTCATCTTCCCCAAGAAAAATCCTATACTCATTGAACACTAACTTCTCATTCTCCCCTCCCCCCAGCCTCTGGCAATCACCATTCAATTTTCTGTCTCTGAATTTGACTACTCTAGGTCCCTCATGTAAGTGGACTCATACAGTATCTGTCCTTTTGTGACTAGTTTATTTCACTTACTGTCTTAAAAGTTCAACTATGTTGTGGCATTGTCAAAATTTCTTTCCCTGATAATATTCCACTGTACACTGTAGTACTTTTAACTACAACTTCCTTTAAAGATTACTTACCCTTTGTTTTATTAAGAAACAAAGGTTGGCCAAGACATATACTCCACAGGTGACTGAAACTACAACCCCCTTCCCCTCCAAAACAGTTATAAATTGCCTAATGTCTCTCTTCAGTTCTATTATCTACGAATTTCTGTAAATTTAGACAGCAAATGATTAGGTCTGCTCATGGTCATATTCTACATAAAGTCAAAATCTTAAAAGTGTCAAAATAGTCAAAATCTTAAAAGCGCATAAGAAGATTAAAATTAAGACATATGGGTCATTAATGTTAAGCACAGAAACAAGATTTCTTTTTAAAGAACTTCTATTCACTCAGCATGAAACTCAACTGAATTTTCAACTTAGCAAATTTAAATTTTGCTAGTATAAAAAACACTTGAACTATTGAACTAGACTGCGTAAA